ATTAGTGTATATTTCAAAAGGGTAATGAATAATTTTCTGTATTAATAAGTAAATAATTCTGATTACTGTGTTGAAAGGTGCATTGGTTCTGACACATTCTACTAAATTAAAAAGCTCCAGCCATCTTATGTTTCTCTTTGTTCCTATATTGCCAGACCTTTTATCCAGAGTAGATTTTCGATAAATTTTTTTTTAAGTTTTTATATAAAGTAATGGTTGGTACTTGGTATTTTATTACTACTTCTTTTTCTTTTCATTTCCTTAATTTTATATTGTAATGTGATACTCAAAGAACACTTAGAGAATTTAAAATTGTGTAACTCATAGAAATATCAAAGCTATGAGATAATGGAAATTCAGTGATTTGCAAAATATTATACATTCATGGATGCCTTTAGCAAAATGTTTATGTTATCAAATTATAACAATAAAATATATAAATTATTTTTGTCTTTAAAGGTCCTGATGAAGTTGTAGGGCCAGAAGGAATGGAAAAATTTTGTGAAGACATTGGTGTTGAACCTGAAAATGTATGTTTTATTTTTAAGTAGAATGGACACTAAGAGGGGTATAGCATATTTATAAATTTCTAAAAAATTGAGACACTTTAATGTTTTATGAAAATTTTCTTTCATGTTTACCATTGTAAATTTGCATTCAGGGTATTTTTAATCAGTTTAATTCAGGCACGTGTTCTTAATACAAATGTTGTTTGTAATTGAGTGGAAAACACTCTACTTTCAGAAACTAAAACTTTTCTCTTTTAAGAAATTGGCACATCTCAATTTCTTTATAATTGATTTCAGAGATTGTACTCTTTAATAGATAAAGGATGGAAATAGTTGTATAAAAATGCTCTCCATGATAAATGTAGATATGATTATCTCTATGCTGACTTTTCCCCTATCCTTTATGTTCTGTTCTTTCCAGATTATTATGTTAGTTTTAGCGTGGAAATTGGAGGCTGAAAGCATGGGATTTTTTACCAAGGAAGAATGGTTAAAGGGAATGACTTCATTACAGTAAGAAATTCTTTTAAAAAACAAATTTGATGACCTATTTGAAGATCTTAACTGATATTTTATGCTTCATATTTTTCAGGAGTAAGGGTTCACCTTAGAATAATATGATTGATTTGAGCTATAATAATCAGTTTGGGGATTGACAAAATTGTATTGTGGTCTTGGCAAATGATAGTTACCCCATTTTTTATATTCTCTAAGGAAGAACCTCAGTACAGTTATTTTAAAAATTGTCTTGGTGAGTGAATTAGAAGCCAATGATCAAAGAGTTCTTTATTCACAGATTGTTAAAGTTAACTGATACAATGGCTTTGTATAGAATAGAATAGAATAGAATAGAATTCTGCTATCTAAGGAATTTGTTTATTGAGCAGTCCTAATCTCTGGGCCTCCTCTCTCCCCTTTTTAATCATATACAAGATTTTAAAAATTTGAAGACAGAGTGACATGCTACTTTAATGATTTCTCGTTTGCCAAATGAATCTCATAAAGGACAAAAGTAGAAATGTTGTGTGGCTCCCATGCAGTCTTTAACCATTTTATAGTTGTACACTTTCAGCTTAGGAAGCTGTCTTTGAACATTTTCATAAGTTATAGAATTGTTTCTTTATAAAAATAATTTGTTGTCCTCCACAGTAAAATGTATTTAATTTCAGAATCAGCTAGTAATTATGGGTTAATTTTATATTATGTCATGTTTCAGTGTTCATGCAGGATGTTACTAGCTACCAGTATTTTAAAATGTTATAGAGAAGGTGTTAATCTTCCATATCTTGGGGGCAAAAACTGGGATTTAATTAGTCGTGTGGTTTTATGTTATGATTATGCTTTTATTAACAGTTTACCTTTTGTTTGCCTTGTCCTTAAATGTTTTTAAAAGTGTATTTGTTCATACGGCACTTAAAATTTAATCATTTTCAGTGTCTTGTGCTTTGTAATTCTCTTTTAAGACTAGTATTAACACATACATATTTTATATTCTTTTTCTTGGGTGAAAACTACTGCTTGTATGAACCATATCATTATTTCTAGACTAGAACATAAAATCGACAGTCCCACTTCCATTCTTTATAGATATAGAGTCTGATACTCAGAGGTGAAGAAAATAGTTGGCAGTTCTTAGTGGCGAAATTAGGACCTCAAATTTGAATTTCCTGAATACCCATCTCCCATATTGAACTTCTGTCAGAATGGGGGTTTTGAATATAATTAGCATTTTTTATAAAATAGAGAACTGTTACAAATATTTAAATCATAATATTTGTTACCTCGATAAGTTCTGTCACATATAAGGTGTCATAATATTTCTAATTAAATACTACATTGGTAGGCCAACAAGGTGACATGATGGTTAAGGCTGCTCGATCCCTCAGTCCAGCTGTGCAGTTTGAGACCTGGACATGCTGGCTTAAAGACTCGCTGGTACATGCGCCCTAAAATCCCAAGGGACAGACAGATAGATTATGGTCATCCCCCCTGGGACAGGGAGAGACCAAGCTTTCTCACTTTTCCTCTCTCTGGAGTGCACATGCCCAATGCAAACAAAAAATAATGCCTTATTGGTTCTGAAATTCTTTGCACTGTTTTATACCTTTTAATTAGCTTTTTAAGGAAAGATTAAATAAAACATACAAAAGAGTATGCAAGAAATAGACACTAGTTTCTGTACAACACTTATAATTTATATTAATTGTAATATGGTTCATTAATTATAAGTGATTTTTGTGTAAAACTACTTTTTTTCTTTTGAGAGAGATATTTTTGCTACAGGGTACATGAGCTCACCAGAGAGACAGAAAGAGAAATCACCTCCCAGGGGGATGGCCACATTGCAATCCCTTATCCTCCACTCTCCTCTCAGGATTTTGGGAACGCACGCACACACTTCTGGCATGAGTTTTAAGCTGCCACATCCAGGACTTGAAACTGGCAATTATGTGGGAGTCCAATAACGTAACCATTATACCATCTGCTGGTCCCAAAACTATTACTTTTCATATTTTTCATACTTTTTGGCATATCCCAGAATAGTTCTTTACTTAGGTTTTTGTTTAAGTTGATACAATATAAAGAGCCTTCCTATAACAAAAATGTGTAAGCTCAAAGCATTTGATACTTACTCCTGAGTCAGTAATTAGCAACATATGGTCTTGGGTACAAGAACAAAAACTGAGTAGTCTATGAGTATAGTTTTTATTTTGCACACCATTCCTGTGGGAAGTTAACAGACTATACAAAATAAAAGCAATTATTCAGCACTTAAGATTGTCCTAAAAGTTCCTCTTTAACTCATTTATTATCTCTCAGCCATTAGAACAGTAGAGCATTGAAACTACTCAAATGACAAAGCACTCTTGACTGTGAAAATAGTTGTTTTTCCATGATCTAGATTGCTAAGAAAGTACAGAGTATCTCCTCTCAATTGACCAGGTCTTATCACTCCCTGAATCTCTTACGAAAAACTTTTTAGGAATAAAACAAATGAAATTTAAACCAAAAGAGACAAAGGAATCTGTTTCTTGATTTTAAATTTTGTAATTGTTTTATATTATATATATATCTATATCTATAGAGAGAGAGATATATATAGATATATAGTATAAAATAAGTACACTATAACTGTAAAATAAAAAAAAATTTTATAGTCTCAGTTCCATTTGTTTATTTTTTTGGTATGTTTTGAATTTAATGTAACCTAGGCATCTGATGGTAAATCATCTCACCAAATATTAGTAGCCAGTTGTTTAAGGGTTTTTGGTTTTTTTAAGAGAGATTTTTGCTATAGGATGTGTGTGCTCACCAGAGACACAGAGACAGAAAGTGAGAAATCACCAGACATCTCCTGGTTCCTCAGTTAATTAATTTTAACCCATAGAAAATTTTAGTTGAGCTATTCCAGAGGATAGAAGCAATTTGGTAATTAAGACATGCACCGTGGTCAGTGATAGTGGACTAGAAAAGTCATGGCTAGGACCAGCAGATGCATAATGGTTGCCTTTGGGCTCCCATATGATCAACAGCAGTTCAAGTCCCAGACTCAGCAGCTTCAAATTCACAATGGGCACACGTGTGTGTGTGTGTGTGTGTGTGTGTGTGTGTGTGTCCAAAATCCCGAGGAGAATGGAGGAGAAGGGATTGCAGTGTGGCCATCCCCCTGGGGGGTGATTTCTGGCCTTCTGTCTGTCTCTAGCGAGCACATACACCCTATACCAAAAGTCTCTCCAAAAAAAAAAGATGACTTATTATACTTTGTATTATTGATACTTTACAGGTTTCAGAATACTTTGTTTTATATTCATTTATTAAGACTGTCTATACAGACTTTGTATAATTGAATTGGCTTTCCTTTGTGTCAAAGAATTTAAGGGTATGAATTTATGTAAAATTAGACTAGACTGGCCATTTTGCAGATTTCAGAGGATGAAATCTTTTCCAGCTATTTTGTTCCATGTGTTTTTCACCTTTATTTATTAATGGCCAAATTTCCTTGCAAATCAGATTTTGTTTTATAAATATTTATACTAAACTAAATACATATTATATAAGTATTTTCTATGTTACTAATGATCATAATGAACCATAAGGCACAACTCTTGCCTTCAATCATATTCCATTAAGGTAGGGAAAACATTACAACACTATAACCATATATCTGGGTAGAAAGCTACAGGTAATAGAGTACATTTAAACTGTGGAACCACAGAAGCTAATAAGGTTAATTTCAGCTGACAGGAAAATATTTTTAGGTGTGCCATTTAAATTAGGACTTGAAGAATGATTTGGAGTTTGTTAGTTGCTTTGGAAGACAGCAGTTGTATGAACATAGCCTTGAGATAGGAAAGCGTATGACTGAGGGAAGTAGTTTGGTTTGTTGGAATTATAAAACACACATAGAAAATTGCTAGGATAGATTAAAAGTCTAGATAGTTGGGGTAGTGGCTAAATTGTGGAGGGATTTGGCTAACATGTTGAGAGAGTTTAAACCATAAAGATATTGGGAGTCCATCAGAGATTTTAGAGCACAGGAATCATCAAAGATTTGGGGAATAATTTTCAATGAATAGTTATCTTAATGTTTTAAGGTCATAGATTTCTTTGATAATTTTTGTGAAAACTGTGGACCTTGTCCCAATTAAGATGCACATATACTCTACCTATAAAATGCTCATATGCTGATGGGAGAATGTAGATCATCATGTTCCTCCATTTATAGATACAAAGTTCCAAGAATACTTGCAAGTTTATTTTGGCATACTATATTGGAGGGAAACTTTTCTTACCTGCTAGCTAAAAGTTTGGTATTGGAGCAAGGGTGAGATACTATGCGTAGAGAACACTGAGCATAAATTTTTGAAAAATACTGTCCTTGATTGTGATACTACAGAAAAAGAAACAGACAGCATCTTACAACATTGGTAGCAACCACGCTGCCTGCCAGTTGGTTACAAGTTGTACGTCTTTTGGTGTCCATATGGAGCCCTGGACTCTGAAGACTAAAGGAAATGGTCTGGCTTGAGTTTTTAAGAGAAAAAGAAATGGGAAACATTTGTTCAGTTCTTTTGGTGGGAATGGAAGAGAGGAATAGATGGGATGCTTTGGTATATGTCGTGTGTGTCATTCATTTAGCATTGTGGGCCCAACTACTAGTTTTCGTTAGAGTCCCTCCCCTCTGTTCTCCCATGGAGTCATCATGACAATTTCCAAATACCCCAGATTCTACATTTGCAAATACTTTTAGATATAGACAGTATTGCTCTGATTGATAAACCTGATTTAAAAGTTGTAAATCTAGAACTTGTGACAAAATCCTATTTTTTCTCCCCCCACCCCCAAATCATCCATTTTAAGTGTGCAGTTCTGAGTTTGAGCAGTTTTTTGTTTGTTTGTTTGTTTTTCATTTAGTGTTTCCTAGAGGGCACATATATTCACTGAGGAGAGAGAGGGAGAAAGTGAGAAAACACCCTCCCTTGGTCATGGCCATGCCACAGTCCCCTCTCCAG